CCCCCCCCCCGGGCCCCTCCAGCCGATACCTCAAGTTGCTAGAACGTTCTTCAACTTCCGCTTCCGGGTCGTGTCAGGAGCCGCCTTTAAAAAAAAAATACCCGAATTGGGCACGTCTAGCCACAGAGAGCCATAGAGTTGAGGCGCAACCGCTAACTGCGGAGCCCACAGAGGTCGCTGTTTTCCGGTCCCTCACAGGAAGCCGCGCTGCTTTCTATGGTCGTGTTTCTCCGGCCCCGCTTCCCATCTATGAGACCGAGGCCTCCGAGGAGAATACTGTTATCTTTTTCTTGCCCAGCACCTGGAACTTAAAGACTTAGGTGGCCTGACTTGGTCGAGGGAAGACTAAAGGAACGGACAAAGAAGGGGCGGGGCATCCGGAGGGCTACTGAGAGCCCCGGAAGTGCAATTCTCGCGGGTTCCTCAGAGTCAGGTCTATCTGAAGCCGGCTGACGGCAGCTGGGAACACCGGTGGTCTGAGGCCAGGCGTCCAAACCGGCGCGACCGTCGTGACCACCTGCCAGTCGCATTTCTTTGCTTTTGTTGACTCCGTCTTGAAGTGAGTCGTAGACGAGCTGCGTTCAGCGTCTACCTGGAAAACGTAGCTTGCTTGTGTAACGCCGAGCGGGTGAGTGCTGTGGGCGGCTCTTTTCTCGAAGGGTTTTTCGGCTTGAAGCGCTGCGGTGGTGGCCGAGTCAGTCTACACCATGAGTGTTAGGAGGACGAGCATCTGTTGTATGGCTGACCTACACTTGGGGGTGTTAAAGCATGTGGAGGAAAGTAGTTTACTCAAACTTCCCCAAAGACGTTGTCAGCCCGGGCGGTGGTGGCGTAAGCATTTAATCCCAGCACTCGGGAGGCAGATGTAGTCAGATCTCTGTGAGTTCGAGACCACCCTGGTCTACAAGAGCTAGTTCCAGGATAGGCTCCAAAGCTACACAGAGAAATCCTGTTTCGGAAAAAACAAACAAAAGGTTGTCAGAATGATCGGCCTGGGAGGTGCGTATGGTTTCATCGTCACGTCAGTACTTATTTACATTTTTTTTGTTAGTTATTGAGAGGATATCTCGCTACGTAGACCAGACTGGCCTCCATATGCTTTCGTCTACCTCTGTGGTTTGGGATTAGAGTCTTGAGATTTAAGGCTTGAGCCATCCCCCTTTCTTCCAAGTAAGACTATAAGACATGTTTCCTGGTTTCTTTTACTGTGTGTGGGTGTTACAGGTGTCCTTGGTGGCCAGAAGAGGGCATTGGATTCCCCTAGAATTGGAGTTAGAGATGGTTGTGAACCAACTGATGTGGGTGCTGGGTCCTGAGACATCTCTCCGGCCCTTAAACGTCATGTTTGCTTCATTTTTGAGACAGGGTTTCACTATGTAGACCAGGCTGACCTAGAACGCAACAAATATCTGCATGCCTCTGCATACCAAGTGCTAGGAATAAAGGCATACACCAGCATCTGGCTAAACACGTGCCTTGTTTTTTAGTGATTTTTTTTTTATGTTTATCAGTGTTTTTACCTGCATGTATGTCTCAAAATGAGGGTGTTGGAGGTAGGGTCAGTTGTAGCTTCTGTGAGTGCTGGGAACCATACCTAGATTCTCTACAAGAGCAGCAAGTCGCCAGTCCTGTAAAGCTCTTGTTTTTAACAGGGCAAGGTGGCACTTCTCTTATAAGGCTGCTTCTCCTGAGAGCAGTCCTGGCTTCTAAGACTGCCATCCACATAACTCTGGAAGAGCTGACGTTGTCTGCGTCCTAACAACCCTGGACAGAACCCAGCATGTCTCAGGCCACCAAGAGAAAACACGTGGTGCAGGAGGTGCTGGGAGAGCACATGGTGCCCTCAGACCAACAGCAGATAGTGAAGGTGAGAGCATGGGTCTCAGCTTTTCTCTACGCCCACCGGACCCCTGGGATGTGGGAAGGGCTCAGTGCAGGTCAGTGTGTGCTTGATCTAACTGGTGATGTGCCTAATTCTTGATCTTTCCTGCACCAGGTCCTGAGGACTCCCGGCAACAATCTGCATGAGGTAGAGACGGCACAAGGGCAGCGCTTCCTGGTGAGCATGCCCTCCAAATACCGAAAGAACATCTGGATCAAAAGAGGTTAGAGGCATCCCTGTACAGTACAGAACCATGACCTTGATTCTTGATTTTCTCCTTCACATGGGAATGCCTTTATCTTTTGTCACTTACAGGGGACTTCCTCATTGTTGACCCTATTGAAGAGGGAGAGAAAGTGAAGGCTGAGATATCTTTTGTGCTCTGCAAGAACCATGTCCGTTCTCTGCAGAAGGAGGGCCACTGGTAGGATAATTTCTAGCTTCTAGGTGTGGTAACATCTTAGCTATGGAATGGGGTAGGGGTGGTGAGGTTATGCCATCCCAAGAGGACATTTGGAAACAGCTATTTTGCTAAAAGGTTTCTCTTCACTCTCTGACCTGGATCTTCTCTTTGTCACAGGCCTGAGGCCTTCTCTGAGGTAGCTGAGAAACAAAACAGTATGAACAGGTGAGGAGCAAGCCCCAGCCCAGGGAAGACAAAAAATACAATTTCATACCTTGGTGCCTCAAGGAGAAAGGTGATCCTGCTTTTCTCCTGTTGAGAACTCAGACATACACAGTAGAGTGGATAGTTATGGGTATAGCTTAAAGGCCAAGTTAAAATGCTGGCTTTGCTACTAAATAGGCAAGTGACTTTAGGTACAGTATTTAATATCTTCACACCACTGGGTGTGGTAGTATATACCTGTAATTCCGGCAATTACAAGGTGGAAGCAGGGGTTTGAACCAGCATTGTGTACATGAATCAGGTTCAAAGCCAGCCTGATGGATATCTGTGAGTTCGAGACCAGCCTGGTCTACAAGAGCTAGTTCCAGGACAGCCTCCAAATTGAGACAGAGAAACGTTGTTTTGAAAAACCCCCCAAAAAGAAAGGAAACCCCCCCCAAAAAAAGCCAGCCTGAGCTACATGAAATCTTTTCTCAAAAACAAGAGTTTACCTAAGAGACAGGATTATGCAAAGTAAAAAAGCTAATGCTTATGCAATTGCTTAGTGCAACAGTTCTCATCTGGGGGTCTCGGCCCTTTTGGGGGGTTGCATATCAGATATCCTGCATATCAGACATTTACATCATGATTCATAACAGTAGCAAAATTACAGTTACTGAGTAACAAATAATTTTGTGTTTGGTCACCGCCACAAGAGGAACTGTGTTAAGGGGTCAAAGCATTAGGAAGGTCATGAACCACTGGCTTAGTGAGTCAGCTGTTATGAAGTGTGAGCTCACTGTGTGTCAGTGATGCTAGTAGAGCTGTTGGTTCCTTATTGAAACCAAATGTGGTGGGTAAGAGGTGACCCTTAGTGTATTCTCTTCCACTGGGATTCCCTATCTGCTCTCTTCTTCAGAAGCCCCTCTTGTTTTTTATTTCTTGAGTCAGGGTCTCATGTAACCTAGTCTGTCCTCAGACTTATCGTCTCTGCCTCAGCCTCCTAAATACCAGGCATATGCCACCACATCGGGCTTTGGGGCTCTTGGATTTTCAGAAACCTCTCAGGGTTCCTGGCTGTTTAGTTGATGGTCCTCATTTTTTGAGACTGGATTATAGATTTGGTTTTCCCAGAAGATGTTACTTATTCGTCCTCTTGCTCACACAGACAGAGTCAGCCAGAACTGCCTGCTGAACCACAGCTGTCAGGAGATGAGTCAGGTTCTGAAGATGATTCTGACCTCTTTGTCAACACCAATCACAGACAATATCATGAGAGTGAGGAGGAGAGTGAAGAAGAGGAAGAGGACGAGGACGAGGAGGCAGCCTGAGCCCCACGGACCCACTTCTCTACTTGCTCAGGGACTACCCCTTGGCTTTTCTGGGCTTGGACATTCCCAGGGTGCCCTGCAGATCTTTTCTTTTGGATGGGGACAAGGCATGGCCCCTTTCTGAACTGACCTAGAAGAATTAAACCCCTGGTGGGTAATGACTTGCTCTGGTGTCTGAGTGGCTGTCTGTGTGAAGGGAAGCTCGTGGTGAGGTAAAGCCTTCTTTCTTGGTGGAGGCCTTGGTCCCCTTGGGAAGGAAATGGGGGTTTGGCTGGAATTTGCGGCATTTGACTTGTTCACAGTACCTCTCTGGGCACTTGGTACCTTACCCTGTGTTATGCCTCCTTAACTCACAACAGTCTTAATTCATTATCTGCTTACTTTCAGTAGTGATTCCAATAGTTAAGGTTGCAACATAGGACCTAGTACCCACCTGCCTCTTAAGCACAGCTCAGGACAAATCCCATGGTGCCTTGTGAACTGCTTCCCTTCCTTCCTAGTTATCTCTTACTGCAACAGTACTTACTACCTGCTGCCATATAAATAACACCCTGTGTATCTCTTTCTTTACCTTACTCACCTGTCCTCCCAGAATGTGTCTGTGGTCAGGATACCTCTATCCTTACCCATCTCCTTATTTTCTTTGAATTTTGCTAATCTCCTCAGGATATTAACTGTCCTAAAATCTTTTGAGATGGGCTCAATAACCCAGAAATGACTGTGTAGCCTAGGTTAACCAATTCAATGGCTGACCTGCCTCAACCCCCAAGAGTTGGGATTACAGGTACGAGTCACTGTCCCTGGCTGGCTGCTAACCTTTTATTAAAGACTGTTGTAACACCCTCATCCCTTGTACCTTAGCATCCAAAGGCTTATTGTGACTCAGACCTCTGCTCATGATGGCCTGCTTTCATTTACTTATTTTAAAATAGTTCTTCCCGCTATTTCAAAGACCCTTCATTGGCCTAAGTACTCATCAAACTATTCGAGCTTCCATGAACTATGTCCTCTCTTTATGAGAGGCTTTGCTTCTGGCTGTCCACTGCTAGCATTCACTCCGCCACTGCTGAATCCTCAAGACTGGCCTCCCAGCTTGGTCTCTCCTCTATTGGTCATTTGCTCCATCCCACATAGAGCTGTCCAACCCTGTTGCCAACTCCTAGTGTGCTTATGTGTTTATTTATTTAATTTTTTTGATTTTCTGAGTCAGGGTTTCTCTCTGTGTAGCTTTGTAGACCAGGCTGGCCTGGAACTCACAGAGATCCGTCTACCTCTGCCTCCCAAGCGCTGGGATTAAAGGTGTGTGCCACCACTGCCCTGCTGCTTGTGCGTTTATTTTCATTGTGAGCTAATGGAACTTCTACTTTGGAGTCTTTCTTTTGTTTTCTGGGGTATTCTGCTTTTCTGTTGTGGGTTGGTAGTTGGTTGGGGGGGGGGGTTGTTACAGGAGGTATGTATTAGCGTCATATACACTATATAGACTCTTCGTTTCTGAACAGGAAATCTGGTGATCACGCCTTCCCCAGCTCTCATTTATCCATTCATGTTTGATTTTTGTGATACTAAATGTATCCTTGGGTATACACGTGTATAAAATATAGGTGTATGTACATGGAAAAATAAGTCAGATGGGTTAAAGATAAATCTTTAATTTCTCTGAATTTTTTTTTTTTTTTTTTTTTTTTTTTTTTAGTTTTGCAAGTCAGGGTTTCTCTGTGCAACTACCAGGGCTGTCTGGAACTCACTCTGGAAACCAGGCTGGCCTCAAACTCACAGAGATCCGATCCGCCTGCCTCTGCCTCCCAAGGGCTGGGATTAAAGGCGTGCGCCACCAACACCCGGCTCTCTGAAATTTTTAAATGAAGAGTTTTTTGTTTTTGTTCGGTACTAAGGATTGAACCTGGGGCCTTTAGTACTTGGCATAGTAGATTGGTGGGTGTTCTACTAAACTATCCACAGCTTTTTGAAATCTGTCATTTATGGGAAGGAGAGAGCTAACTTTTGAGCTAGAGAAAGAGCTACTTGTCCCTAGCTCATCCATTAATTGGCTCGTTCTTTCCTCATCGTTAGTGCCTTTTTTTTTTTTTTAAAGATTTTATTTATTTATTATGTATATAACATTCTGCTTCCATGTATATCTGCACACCAGAATAGGTCACCAGGTCTTATAACGGATGGTTGTGAGCCACCATGTGGTTGCTGGGAATTGAACTCAGGACCTCTGGAAAAGCAGTCGGTGCTCTTAACCTCTGAGCCATCTCTCCAGCCTGTTAGTGCCTTTTTAAAAACTCATATCCAGAAAGGTATTGTTGGTTCACACCTTTAATCCTAATCTCAGTACTTGGGAGGCAGAGGCAGGCAAATCTCTTGAGTTCTAGGCCAGGCAGAGTTACACAGTGAGATCCTGTTCAAAAACCAGGCATCATGGCACGTGTCTTTATTTTTCGGTTGTGAGCCTAGCCTTTAACTGCTGAGCCATCTCTCTAGCCTGGCTAGTGTCTTTAATCACAGCACTTGGGAGGCAGAAGCAGTTTATCTCTGTGAGATAGCTTGATTGACAGAATCCCAGGGCTATATAGAGAAATCCTGTCTTGAAAAAAAAAAAGTATCTCTAATCCTACTTGGAAAGGTGAGAGCAGTGGATCAAGATATTACCATGAGTCTGGACTATATGAGTATAAACAAGATTTTGTCTAAAAAAATAGATTCCTGGATCTTCCACTCTAGACCATGGCCAAGTTCATTTGTAACTTTCACGGAGAAGGCCCCAGTGCTAGTAAGTGCAGCCGACTTAGTCCAAGCCTCAATTGGCCACATTTTGGCACTACGCTAAGCTTGAACTGGTTCCCCCAACCCTTGCTGAACTCCCTGCAGCTGTCGAGAGTATGAAAGAAATAATTCAAAGTGCAAAACTGGTGGCTCCTAACAGCTTACAGGTAAGGAAGCTGAGGTGTGGATGTAGTTGTATATCGGAGAGATCATAGGCAAATGTGGCATCATTGGCTATGATGTTTGAAGACTGATCTTTAACATCTGATTTTATTTGAATTTTTACTTGAATGTTCTTGGACCACATGTGATCAGACTGCTATCTCAATAAAGTACTAGCTGTCGAGTAAAAAATAAAAGATTCCTGCACATGTGGGTCTTTTTAGAATTCCAAATCTGCCCTGAGGGTCTTTGTATCTACACGTTTTACAGTACACTTGATACCTCATAGCTCCCCTATTCCACCATCCTGAGGCCCTCTCGTATTTCCTCATTACATAAAATCAACTTGGTTGTTTTCATTTAAAAGTCCTTGGCAGGGCCAATGAAATAGCTAAGGCATGCACTTGCCAAACCTGAGGACCTTAATCAAACTCCAAGATTCAGATGGTAGGAGAGAACCAACTCCTGAAAGCTGTCCCTTTACCCTCCACAAATGTCCCTAGGCCTCCCCTACTGTTGCTGTTGTTCTGAGCTAATAAATGTGCACCACCATGTCCTGTTTTGTGAGTGCAGGGGATTTAACCCCAGGCTTTGTGCATCCTAGGCAAGCACTCTGCCAACTAGCATAGGGTTTTATTTAGTTAGTTTTTAGGGTTTTTTTTTTTTTTTTTTTGAGGCCGTCTCTACATACCCCTGGCTGTCCTGGAATTCTCTATGTAGATGAGACTGGCCTCCAACTTACAGATATCTGCCTACCTTTGCCTCCGGAGTCCTGAGATTAAAGGCATATACAACATGCCAACTATTACAGAGTTGTTGGGTTTTGGGGTTTGTTTTTTGTTTTGTTTTTTTAGTGCTTGGTACTAATCCAGACCCTTATGCATTATAGAAAATAATCTCTTGAGTTTATTGACAGCCTGTTCAAGGACCGACAGGGCCACAGAGAGAAACCCTGTCTCAAAACAAAAATTAATGCCAGGCGTTGGTGGCGGTGGCGCACACCTTTAATCCCAGCACTCAGGAGGCAGAGGCAGGCGGATCTCTGTGAGTTTGAGGCCAGCCTAGTCTCCAGATCGAGTGCCAGGATAGGCTCCAAAGCTACACAGAGAAACCCTGTCTCAAAAAACCAAAAATAAAAATTTTAAATCCTAATTCAAGCAACTCAGTTGTGTACATCTTGCTTTCTCTAAGTGCTTTTTACGCCTGCAGTAGGGGACAGTATAAGCCACGCCTGCTAGAAGCTGGCTACAGGTGTGCCTGACCATGCCTGTCAGGGCATGGTCAAGGTGAGGTCAGGATGACATGTGATAGGGCTTTTAAGGGGCTGCAAGGCACATGGGAGCCCCTTCTCTCTGGCCTGCCTGCCTTACTGCCTGCCCCTGGCATGCTCTGGCTTGCATTTGGCTGGTGTTTATCTAAATAAAGATACCTTAACCTTACAGACTACAGATATTCTTGTAATACACCTGTGCTTAAGATCTACATTTAAAACTCTGTTTGGATGGGGGCTAATAACTGGGTCAGCAGTTATGAGCACTGTCTACTCTTCCAGAGAACCAGGGTAGCCACTTAACAACCATCAGTAACTCCAGTTCCAGTGGATGGACCCCTCTTCTGGCTTCTGCAACTACCAGGCAAGAAATGTGGTGAACAGACACACATGCAGGCAAAACACCCATACACATATAAAACATAATAAAAGCCCTCAATTTAAAAAGGAAGAAAAACTGTTAACAGAAGATAGGACAAATAGAAACTTACTTCTCATAGAAGTGTTCAAGCAAAAAATGTATTCTGTGGGTCATTTCAGGTCACAGAGACATTTCTGGGGTCAGAAAACTAATTTGCTCCCTTTCAGAATCCATCCCCAACTACTGTTTTTACTTTTTGTTTTTCAAGACAGGCTTTCTCTGTGTAGCCTTGGGTGTCCTGGAACCTATTCTGTAGACCAGGCTGGACTCAAACTGCCTCTGCAACTGCCTCTGCAGCTGGGATTAAGGGCATGTGCCACCATCCGGCCTGTTCTGACTTCTAATAAAATTAAGCTTGCCTATTACGTTGTAGACTGGAAACAGGCACAATTCCACATTTGGCTACCTTTCCATATCCATGAGAAGCACACATTTTCATTCTGTCACAAGAATATCAACTACTAACCCATTCTGTTGATAGGTGTGGATTATAGCATTGTTAGGTACATCCTTGTTCATGTATTGAGCTTAACATATGTGCACT